CTTTTAAGAGACACGGGATACGATAAGCGTAAGACGCATCGGGGACGCACGTCAGCACCCGTCCGATTGACCGGCTCGCACACTCGTCCGATGAAACAAGACTCGACGAAACGGCCGTCGACAGTTTCGACGTCGATCAGCGGCAGGATTGATGGATCGCAATTACGATTTATCGCCGGCCGGCAGGTGACGGTACGCGCGTTTCTTCGCTTCCAAATGAGACGTCAAGCTCCGTTTCGAAGTTAGCGTCGGCCGGCCGTCACCCTTCGTCGAGGGGTGCGCGAATGAGATTTGCCGGGTTCATATATATATATATACGTGGACGTTTATCTGTCATCCCCGGGAATAGGACAATCGTGCCGGTGCATTCAGGCCCCGAGGATTCTTTCCCAACTTCGTGTCAGATGCGTCGTGAGCGAATAGAGAGAGAGAGAGAGAGAATGAGGTAGTGAGCGGACCGAACATCCGCGCGGCTCTCCGGGTCTTCCCGGTACGGAGGAGGACCGTCGACACCGAAAATTCTGTCGAGTAATGCAAGAATTATTATCCTACGCGGCGTGTCCGGGACGATGGGAAAGAAAAGGGGCGGAGGAGGGAAGAAAATGGTCGTTAAGCGTGCGCGCGAAATATGAGAAATGATCTGTCGACGTTCCGGTGGCCGGTGGAAAAAGCCGAACGCCGGGTTCAAAGACGCCGTGGAATTGAAAAAGCCGAAGGGCCACGCCATTAGATGCAGCGTGATCGGGCGAATTCCGCGCGCGACCGGCCGTCGGAGAAAATCCATCCCGACGGCGGAAGGCTTCCGCGAGAAGGCGCGGAGGGAAAGCCGCGGCTTCCTTATTTACTCTCGCGGCGATCGCGCGCCGGTGATTAGAACGTACGTGATCCGGTCGTGAACGAGCCTTGAACTCTCCTCGCGACCCAACGTCACTTGCGGGCAACCCACTCGTGTATCATGTACACGAGTCTTTGCGTTAATTGAAACGATCATCTCGATACGTCGTTGAGTTGAATTCGATCGGAAGCAACGCCCGTTCTCAGGGGAATAATTGTTTGCACCGCGAAATCGTGCGCGTTTTCTGACTTCAAGCGCCATGAAACTGAAATATAGTCAGCGAATGATAAAGTTGCGACTCTTTTCTTTCTCGATGAATTTCGCAACGCATCTCGTATGCAATGGGAAAATGCGTCTCCTGAGAATGATGAAGAAAGAAATCTTTCCATCGGACACAGGATGCGTTCCAAAGCTAAAAAAGAGAAAAAAGGGGTTGCGATCTTTCCGCCGCTGACCGTATAAAGTAACGACAAGCGATGAAATTTTATGAAGAACACCTGACATTTTCACTCCTTGTCCGTGCGATTTCGAATTATCAGTCTTACGTGTAATAAAGGATGTATAATTGAATAACCTATTTTCGTTTATTTATCGACTCCTTTCCGCAGAAAATATGACACCGACGCGACACAATGTTCCCAAGTGATCACTTGTCCCATGTTACTTAAATTTAGTATTCAGAAATAATGCTCTGAACGTGGTGTGGCCGTTCTGAACGAGATTTCTTTCGTTTGGCTAGAAAGCTCGATTTGTATTTTGAGTAAAATTGAACGAAGTGGAATCCATTGGAAATCATCAATCATTTCGAAATTGTCATTGTCTATGATCCCTTGTCAACGTCTGGCAATCTCGTCTTGACCTCTTTTACAAAAGATTTACCACCGCGGGAGGATCAGAAAACGCAACTTTTTGTCTGACCGTAAATTTGCCGGAGAAATTGTCGGAGATATTTGGAAAAAAATATTCACCGTCGAGATTCCCCCGGGAAACTTCTTTCGACTTTCGGCTCGGAGGCAGGAAGTGACGAGAAATTTCCGGCGGGAGACTTTGTTATCTTCAAGACGTGCGCGTGCAATAAATTCCCGTCCGTGACAAGAAGAGCGCCAGAGAGAAATTACATTATGTAAATTCTCATGCGAGCGTAAAGGGGGAAGCGGACGCGATAATAAAGGTCGCAAAAAATTACGCTGCGCCGGCTAAAAATTACTCTTGCACCAATTACGTGCGCGGTGTGCACACTTGGACGTGCACGCCGCCGCTGAAAGTAATTTCTCCTCGTAATTCCGCCGGGCTTTAAATAGGCTTTACGTCGTACGGAAAGGGGCTGCTCCGACTACCCTCAAATTACAGGCGGCCATTATCGCGCGGTCGGCCTCGCATTTGGGCCAGACAATGGCCGCCACCACTCGTTAATGTAATAGGCATCCGAAAGGCGCGATCTCCCTCCCTCCCCTCTCTCTTTTTCTTTCTTTCTCTCTCGTCTCCTTCGAAGCAGCACACCGGCATTCACGGGTAGAAGCCGCGCTGGACGAAAATCCTCCTCTTCTTCGGCCGACCTGTCCGTCGCCGTTTCGTCGGCGGGCGGACCTGCTCCGGCTTCCAGGCGCGCGCCCGGCCCCCGAGGAATTATTATTTTATGAGATTATTATCTCTAATAACATCGGCCGACCGCGGGGAGAAAAAGGAATAACGCTTTTGTGTTCGATGGAAATGTTCACACGTGGAAGTCGCTCACTCGATGTTATCGACGCTTTGTCGAAAGCCCAGGTAGAGAAATTCTAGAAATCCTTTTAGGACCGGCGGTCCGCTCAAGTGCGAAATATCAAACATTGCCGGGCAAATTAGCGCTGCAAATGTCAGAGTGAGTCGCGTAAAGTCACGCAAGTGACTCAGAGCGGAGTTTATCGTTGCTCGGCATCAACAAAATACCGCTCGACTTTTACGAATGCAGCAAACTTTCTTGAGAGAAATATATGATTATTGTATAAGAATTAATGCTTGAAAAATCGATTGTCGCGCATTGAATATTAAATCATTATTAAATTCGCTCGCATTTACAATATGTTTTTCAAATTTATCGCGTGATAATATGTGTAACTATAGCAATCGATAATGTTCGAATTAGATATCTGTGGCTTTTGAGAAATATTTCTATTATTTTAATAATTCGTGTTTCTTAACAGGGCAAAAACACAGGAAAATTCCACTTAGTTGACTCAAACAAAATTTGATTAAAATATATTCAAACAAATCTTTTGTTCCTTTGGTTGTGTGAACGAAAATTTGGTTCTTTGAACCAAAGGTTTAGTTCTCTGAAATCGAATCTTTTTCATTTTCGTCTCAGAGATCCTAAGCCTTTGGTTCAGAAAACCAAACTTTCGTTCTCACAACCAAAACATTTACCTGAATATATTTTAATGAAATTTTGTCCGAGTCAACTGAATGGGTTTTTCAGTCCGTAACACAACACGCGAAATTATTTTGCGCTCCAATTTACCGATTTGTATTCTTCAACGCCCAGTTCCTCCCGACGCGAAACTTTTATTTCCCGACCGTGAAAGTATTGCATGTCTGTTCCGAAGGCATAAAATATATTATACTCGTAGTTACTCGTTGCGTATTCTGGAAACCGTGAACGATTCGAACAGCCTCGTCCGTGTCATTTTTCACGTGTACGGAAGGGATGAAAGTAGGGAAGAGGCCGACGGAGTCGCGCGATTGGCCGAAGGGCGGGAACGTTCGAGGGTTGCTCGAGTAAGCAGGTGGATCTTCAACAACATTCCTTTGTCCTTCAATTCTTTTTGCTCCCATTGCAAATTTTCACGTGTCTGTCGCCGATTACCAGTTTACGAGCGTCGCTCTCCGGAGTCTGTGTGTATATATAGATCGTTTCCGAGTTGAGTTCCTTCCGCGGATAAGAAGCTACGAATTTATCTTCTCTTTTTTTCATACTATCGTATGTACAACAAAAAACTGCTCAAAATGTTCAATCGCTCTTGTCGAAGTATAATTAAATTGCGACCGCGAGAAAAACAAAGAGATTTCGGGTTCAACGGCAGTTTCGTCGCATCTTTCGGTTTCGAAGCTAAGAAGGTGTGTTGATAGAAATTGCAGAGATTCTGGCACAACTGAAAGGAATGTGGGAAATCATTCTCTCGCGCATTCAACTCGTTATTGTGTACGTCGACTTGTACGTGAGCGATGAATGCACACACGTCTGTGGTACGTCGCTTGGAAGGAAAATTCGCGGCAGAATATTTACGACAAAGTGCAACGTCCAAGTACACTGTAAAATGATTTGCTTTGCTACGAATGTTTCTTCCTGAAGACCGAGGCCGCACTACGTCGCAGACGAGAGGCAAATGCGTAGAGCCGGTGGCGTAGTCAAGGAAGGCGTTGTATCCCCAAGTGTAATGAGTCGCTAGGTGGCTCCTTCGGAATCGAAATTCAATTACTCCAGCTTGCATCCACATCGCAAAAAATGGTTAGGACATAAGTTGATTAAGTAATTAACCGTCGTGCTTTTAATGAAAATATCAGCACGAATCGCCGGGCCTTTAATCACGATCGATGAACGGCGTTGGGTAAAATGCAAATACATAATAATCGATACCTAAGGCGAGTATATGATAACGCAGCGGTTCGTCATTAATCAACGCTCATCATTGCGAGAACACGTGTCCATTAATTGTCACCGACGCAGAAACGATGCGAATACACGCGACGGACGTGAGGAAAAACGTGAATTCCTCCTAGCGATCATTTCGTACATCGTGGAACACGTGTGTAAGGATATCTACGTGCGGTGATAGTTGTGGGTGACGTGTCGGAACAAAATTGCACAATAGGACGGATGAGAAACATTCCTGAATGTACTGTACAATCAGCCGACTAATTAAATATTCCCGAGTGATCTCTGCGTGAACCTTTACGGCTTGCACGCGAACTTGTTTACGCTCGCTTATGTTTCATCACCTACCGCACGAAGCGCCGAAGTGCTTCTCGCGAGGAATTTCGAACGTGTCCCGTCGGGAAACGCGCTCTTCCTTTTCGTCGCTTTTCTTTCTTTCTCTCTTTCCTCTCTCGGCGATCCGTTAAAAACTAAGTCTATACCGGCGAGGGACCTGTCGAGAAACATTTGGCGAACGTCTATGCACTTTTACAGGCGAATACATCCTCAGCTCCGGCGGTCAGAACGGAAGTGGAAGTAGCATCGGCGAGGACAGCCCACTTCTCAACGAAGCGTCGTTGGGTTTGGACAATCATCCGTTGACCGGCTTGACTAATGATTCGCTGGTGCTAAACGACACTTTAGGACTCGAGCATGATTTTACCTCGGAGCTTCTCGGAGGTAGTCTCTTAGAAAGCGCCGGCGTAGAGGGTCTCCTCAGCAACGATACGCTGGGCTTGCCCGACGAATTTAATCTCGAGGAGGCGCTCCAGCTCGTCGGCCTCGATGAGGCTCAACCAGAGACTTGCGAGGTATTTTATTGCACACGAGCGATTGCATTTCGAAAGTTTCAGAGAAATGTGAATAACGCGCGTCCGTCTTCCTCCCCTCGCGCTCTCGTGAAACGCTCCGTGGGATGCTCTCCGACGACCGATGATCGGTCCGGAAGTTCCCGTACGGATTTCCGTTTCACCGATGGCGGCGAGAACTTTCGCGGCGTTACTTATTGTTGTGTGGTCGGCCAAAGTTATTCGCCGTTTACGCACACAGAAAAATATATACTGCACTCAAGTAAATATTACACGGAAACGAAGAATCAGCTGTTTACATTATGTAAGTGAAATTCTGTTTCCAGATTTAATTTTTATCTGCGGCAGCTAATCCTTTTTTTCCGAGTACTTGTTTCAGGTATTTCATGAATTTATATATCCGCAAATGTACCATATATAAGTTCATAAGCGTCAAATTTATTCAAAGTATTATCTGAATTCGAATAAATTCAGTACTTCGAGAATCAAGAATATTAAATTAAAACAAACTTCGGCTTGTGTTTTTCCAAATTAACTTAATTTCCCTTCGATAAAGCTTATGATATTTTTGAAAAGAGAATAAATTCTTCTCTCGAGTGCATGACAATTGAGACTTCTAAAATTTGTGGTATAAGAGTATTTTTAATGATATATTTTAAGAGCATTTTACATCAGGAAAATAATTCCTTATTGAGGACGTTACTTACGTAAAAGAAGGAAAGTAAATTGAGTAATCGCTTTTCTCAGCAGTGGAATGATATTTCTCTGTGCAGGCGTGTGAAACCGGCGATCGCGTTCTGCTCGGTTGCCGCGCAGCGATGCGCCAGCGGTTGTTGAAATTACTTTTAGTTACATATCGATAATAACGATGCATAATCGTCCATTAACATAACTCGATACGGCACGAATCTGTCCTCGGCGAGGAAACATGTTAATACGTTGAACACAGCGCGCTGGAATATTTTTATCTCGCGTGATCGCGGAGCGTCTCGACCTTGGCGCTGCGGTGCGATGATGCACGTCGCCGATATCATTACATAAAGATTGATTATTAGGAGACGAAACCGGAAGTGAAGAAGAAGAAGAAGAAGGAAGAGGAGGAGGAGGAGGAGGAGGAGGGCAACGCCGAGGACTCAGCGAGTGCAGAGGGCGGCGCGGCCATCACCGCGTCGGATAACGCCGAGGTCGCGAAGTCATCCAGCTGCGAGGATCCCGAGACCGGCGACATGATTCACACACCGCAGTTTCATCATCCCCATCATCCGCACCACCGCTCCTTCCAGGTACGTCCTGATTTCATTGCCTGCGGATTACTGTACACGCATGCCGCTACTTCTCGTTACTGTGCGCGCGCAGTGTCATCTATGGTACTGACATTGTAATGATTTACGTACAGAGTACACAGGCGCCGTGTGTGCGCGCGTGTGTGCGTATATATTAAATACATTTGTCGTCTGGATAAATGATAAGTGCCGCACAGGAGATTGTCATCCTTTCAATAGCATTTCGACGCCGCCCGCACGCCTCGACGTCCCTTCTCTTTTTTTTTTTTTTCCTTCAATTCCAACTTCGAGTCGAACATGCTCTCGTGCGCGGTTATCGGAAAAATTATCTGACTCTCGATAACGCGATCCAGCTAAATTGACTCCCTCCGCCGTATCTCGAACGGCCGTTCGCGATGTACGCGGCTGCAGTTTCGAAAGGGGGATAAAGAGAGAGAAAAAGAGACCCTGCGAGCCGCCAAGGAGAGCATTCGCGATTTTTCGACATTCCCGTTAATGAGAGCTTCGGAATGGCGCGTTGATACCGCGAAGGGCAGCGGTTGATATACGAAGTAGGAAACAAACGTCCGAGGCGAGATAAGAACGGCGCGCGAAAGCCGCGCGGTTAGAACGGCGTTTACGGTCCATAAACGGGACACTCTTTATTTACAGCGTCGACCGCGAAAATGCCGATGCCGGCTTTATACCTACGGCTGCCCCTGCCCTCCCTCCCCCTTCGGGCCCGACAATTACATCGTAATCGCGTTTTAATGTGACGATCACGGTGGACGCGCGCAGGAGCGCGTCGGTAAAAATGGACCGACTCCGGATTCGCGCTTCTCACCCGCGTGATATCTCGTTTCCAACTTCGGTCTCTCCTTTCCGTTTTACACACAGAGAGAAAGATTTACTCGAAACTAATCGAATTTCTTGAATCGAAAGAAATTCGTTTCTTTGAGCAAATCCGGGGTTGCCGCAGACCTGGAAAACACGGGGGAAGTCACGGATATTTAAAATGTCGGGAAAGACCCGGGGAAATCAGGGGGAAGGATATAAAAAACTTGGAATTTTGAACTTGGAATTTTGAATCACAATTCCTTGGCTCTCAACTGTATTCTTTTTTCCGATATTCGTTTATTTTCCGTTGGCCTAAACTTGCATTTCAGTTCATAACTTTTTTTTTCCAGCTTTCTAGTCAATCTCTGTTTTCTCAATTTTATTCTCGTCACCCGTGTTTCATCGTAATGTCTCAGTTTGTGATTTAATTACGCGACGTTGCACGTATAATATGCGTATTATAGCAGCCGGCGACAAGATACACGAAGCTAACCGATACAGAGTATCTTTATGTACGTTTCGCACAGTTTTACGATGACGATTCGACCGCGCATCAGTCGAATCCCTTACATGGGCACGCTGACCCTTACACGGGGTTTCACTATCTAGCAATCTAAACGCGGCAGTCGCGGATGACTATTACCGCTCGTGGTTTTAAGAGGCTGCTACAACTACCGACTCGGGTCACAGTCGGTGTTCGGCGGCAGATTTGCGATTTTTCTCGCGTAGTTCGCGCGGAGAGGCCGGCTCGCTGATTGTAATTGCCGCTTGTTGGATTTGCTTTGTGCTTGCGCAGCTTAACCGCCGCCGATTCCGCCGGGATAGTTCGTTCGCTGATTTACACCTTTGACATCGCGCGGTTGCGGTACACACGCGTGCGTTATTCGCGAACTTTGACTAGCGATGGAAAGTCGTTCGTCGGAGATTCCGAACGACGATGAGTCGCAAGCCGAATATTATTTCGCGGAGTTTCTGCACCGATAGAAAATTATATAGTCAGTTCGTTTCGGCGCCGAACACATTTTATAGTGGTAGCAATGTGCACGTGAGGTTATTATCACTGACAGTAGTAATACTTATCGGAAAATCGAGTTTCCTAACTAACGGGAAAAAGGAATAAGGAAGAAATGTCCGTATAATGCAACGGAAATTTATCTCATTTTTTTGTCTCTGTACGCAATTTTTAGTTCTCACAGCTACAAAACTAGGCATAGAAACAAAATAATTAGCTAAATTAACTAAATTTCAGTTATATCATATAGACAAATTTTTACCTGTTGGAGCGAATTCTTTTTTCCGCGTATTTTTCCGGTTAAAGTGTATGTTGGGCGCCGAAACTAACTGAATAATTTTCTATCAGTGTGCGCGAAATTCTCTTTATAAAATTCTCTACTTTCCCCTCAAAGTTCTCTTCGCCCGTCCTCGTTTCTCAGCCTCGTCATTATTTTCAGCGTCTCCGAACGTGAGGGACACTATTCGCGCGTTTTTTGAGATTAAGCCCGCTCTCACCTGCTCGTTATAGCTTTACAGCGTTATAGAATTTTATGGCACACGCGGGGAACAAGTCCCGGCACCAAAGAGATCGCGCCTATTAGAAAGCGCGTTCTCTTAGTGTCTCGCGAATCACCCGTTTCGTCTCCACGAGCGTTTTATAAAGTGTAAATCAAATTTTATCAGGCGGTAACTCGGCGGCCTCGCGTGTATGCTGTGATGCGAACAGCAGCATTCGGTTATAGGCGACGGATACGACGATCGTCGTGATCCTCTCTCCGAGAACATTTTTCTCACGTGGGTGTGATATGAAATCGTAAAAATCACACCGCGTGTACGCGCAGCAAAAAACATTTTGTACTTGTGTTAAAATCGGTTCTTGTTAAAATTTTTGTGTTAATTTTTAACATATCCACATGCCATTGCGTTAATTTAACGTATTGTGCCTGTGTTATGTCAACATTTTGCGATATCTCAAAATTTGGTGCCGATATTCAACATGTGTAAATGTTAAAACAACACGTTTTATACTTCAGTGCCGATTAACGTATTAATTTTATGTTAATTTTTTACGTAATATTTGTCAGTTTTCAACATATTCACCTTCTGTTAACACAGAAAATTTTAACACACCGTTTGCGACATATGAATTGTGTTAAATTTAACATAAAATTTTTTTACTGTGTGCGATAATCATTTAAAAATTTTCAGAAGTAAGAGACTTTTCTTTGGTGCTTGTCTTAGATGGACCACTTTGTAGATATATATAAGAACAGGAAAGTTACTTCTTAATGTAAAATCCAGTGTGTTTAAATACTTCTCTCAATTGAATAGGAGAGAGAGAGAGAGAGAGAGAGCCTGAAATATCTTTAAATCCATCTTAACTCAAGATAGGACAAGAAAGTTAAATGAATCCACTGTTCGTCCTACTGTGCGCCGGACACGCACCGAATATTTGACAGATGCATGAAATTTCTCGTTGTATCAGCGAAAATAATCATCGTTCAAGTCAAACATGCAAGTGTGTTATTTTTAGATCCTTTAGTTTTTGCAACAAATGATATCACGATTGCCAACAGCTACAGCGTTGCGATAAAATATCATAATTATTGATCGTTAGCGGAAAAACAATTATGGCATTCGTGTAATTATTGAATCAAACAACCAGTTTTGCCGCTGTGTTTAAAGATATCGCTGCTTATATAAACATTCGATATAGTAGTTCCATTTATTACACGATCTGATAATTGCCTCGCTACCTTTGCAATATAAATGTCGGATACTTGAAAAACAGGAAGACACGTGTGGCAGTGTAGAAAAAAACTAGTTTGCCTTCTTGCGTCTTTTAAAATTGTTGCACGTGGATGAGACACAATCGTCCATGGTATACATATTCAAATATTTAGATATATGCTAGACGTTTTTGTTACGGTTTTCCCATTTTTTCGCGAATTCGTTCGCTTTCTTATTTTCTTTACGGAAAAAAGTAAATGCCGCTGATTTCAGCCGCACACACGTGAATTTTCTTAAACAAATTTTTTTATCTTTGAGACGAAAACCAAAGAAATCTAAGAATGAAGAAATGAGAAAAAATCGGTTTTTCCCAAGCTTTCAAAATTAAATGTACCAATGTCCAAACATATAGACTGAGAAAAAGATTTCTTCACATTTGATAAATTTGATCGCATCCAAACGAATTTTATCATTAGCATGCTCCGAAGAAATTAATGTTTCGATTAATAAGTACGATTGTTAGACTTTTCAGCGAATACATAACTTTATCTTAAATAAAAAATTGGTTTGAGACGAAACATGCAACTCGTGTGACTCCCGGAGACGAGGTTCGCACGAGCTGTGTGACTATACGTGAGACGAAGCTGTCCCATCGCCCGGAGGAAATCCCAGCCGCCCTTAAGAAATGGACATTTCCCCAGTCTCGGGATTTCGAGGTCGCGTCGCCCCGTCGAGAAGTCACATCGCTGTAGCAGAGAGGAGTAGACGAGATCGTGACAATGACCTACCCAGATAGATAGTCCAGCGGACGGAACGTGACGCAACGCGTGTACGTGTGCAGGACTCGCGTGCACACGTGGAGGAACACATCTGAAAAGCCCCCGCCAATGGGAGAGGTGGTAGGCCCCTACCATGAAGCGCGGTGGACGCGATCGCGATGTTTGTGATCCTGGCGGTCGGCGTCGACACTCACGGACGACACGCGGCTGGAAGTGAACCTCGCGGATCTCGCGGAAAAGTCGACTCGACGCTCGACCGAAGGAAAACAAAAAGGAGAGAAGACGAAGGAGAAGAAGAAGAAGAAGAAGACGAACCCACCGATCTCTCTCTCTCTTTCTCTCTCTCTCGAACGCGTTACTTCCACGGGCAGAGCGTGCGACCGAGAGCGTTTTTGGAAGAACTCGCGAGCCGATCCCCGCTGATGAGAGCGTCTCTTCCTCCGGTAGAGAACTGGTTCCTGAAGTAGGTGTCGGAGACCTGCCGAAGCAGCTCGTTCGAGCCGAGACGCCGAGATTCCCCGCCTAGATATCACCGGGTGGATCCGTCGTATTGTTGATGAAAAACTGGTTGCAAAATGAGGACACGAGACTTCCGCGATCGGTTCCCCACGGCCTTGTATCACTGACTTCGCAGAAGACCGGAGGTGCCCTTGCTCACGTGTGAAATTCGTCATTCGCACG